CAGACATCTCAACAAATTCATTCGATACAAGAGATTCAAGATGCAATCCCTCAAGACCATCTTGGGTTGTATTCGGAAAGGGGATGTAATGACTTCAATCGATTTGCAGGAAGCGTACCTACATGTCCCGGTACACCCTCATCATCGCAAGTACCTCAGATTTGTGTACGCCGGCCAGCACTACCAATACCGAGCGATGCCGTTCAGTCTCTCGTCCGTCCCGAGGGTTTTCACCAAACTGTTGGCAGCAGTGGCGGCCACCATTCGGCAGATTCCCATCTGCATATTATGTTACCTCGATGACATTTTAATTTTGTCCAATTCCCTTCTCCAAGTGCAGCAGGACATGCTGACCGTTTGTCGGGTCCTGGAACTCCATGGCTTTTCCATAAATCGCCGGAAGAGTCACCTACTTCCTTCCAGGTCCATCGTCCATCTGGGTGCTCGGATCGACTCGGAGGCGCTTCAAGTTTTTCTTTTGGCGGAGCGACAGTGGAACATCAGAGACTTGGTCACCCTGGCCTTGAGGCGAGTGTCTCTGATAAACTTATCTCGGTTGCTTGGCAAGTTTATTTCTTGTTTAGAGATCGTGCCCTGGGCTCACTGTCACTCAAGACCGCTCCAGTGGTTCCTTCTGCTATTCCAGAGACTGGGCCAGGGTTCATCCAGGACTACAGTGTCGCTTCCACCTCAGGTACGTGTGTCTCTCCGGTGGTGGGCGTCGGGGGCCCTGGCAAAAGGTTGTCATTTTCATGTCCCCACCAGAATAGTTCTCACCACAGACGCGAGCCTCTCTGGCTGGGGGGGTCACCTGGAAAATCAGGTGGTCCAAGGAATCTGGACGCAGATTCTCGGGACAATATCAATGTTCTAGAGTTGAGAGCTGTGCGTCTGGTGCTGCTCCATTTTCAGCAGTCCCTGTGTCACCGTCATGTCCTTGTCCTCACGGACAACATGTCAGCAGAGGCCCACATAAACCGGGAGGGGGGCACCCAATCTCTCCCTCTTATGCGGGAGGCAGAGGCACTATTGGACTGGGCGGAGCTTCATCTGTTGTCTCTGAGGGCGGAGCATATTTCGGGGAAGGCGAACATCAGGGCAGACTGGCTCAGCAGACAATGCCTGGATCCATCGGAGTGGAAATTGCATCCAGAGTTGTTTCGGGAGATGACACACCGCTTCGGCCATCCTCTGGTGGACCTCCTCACCCATCAGGACAATGCTCAGCTGCCCAGGTTTGTCACATGATTCCCTTGCCCGGGAGCCAAGGCCTACAATGCTCTGCGGTGCCTGTGGCCTCCGGGCCTGCTTTATGCATTTCCCCTCATTCCACTCATCCCGGGGGTGATCCGCAAACTGCTGCTGGAGAAGGCAGAGCTACTTCTGGTCGTACCTCACTGGCCTCGGCGCCCCTGGTTCACCGACCTGGTGAATCTCTCCGTGGAACCACCATGGCGCATTCCTCAGGCCCGAATATTGCTCAGCCAGGGGGCTGTACTCCATCCAAACCCCCAGTGGCTACAATTAGCCGTATGGCGCTTGAGCGGATCCGCCTGAGAAAGGATAACATCTCAGGGAACGCCATTCACACTATCCAGGCAGCTAGACATCCGTCAACTACCCGGATCTACGATGCCTCTTAGAAGGCTTTCTGCCTTTGGTGTAGCTCCCGCCATATTGACCCTACCTCGGCAGAAGTTCCCGACATTATAGACTTCTTACAGGCGGGTTTGACTAAGGGTCTGGCCCCGTCCACACTCAAAAGACAAGTGGCTGCTTTAGCAACAGTCCTAGGACCAGGGGACTTGCGGTCTCTCACCCATGACCCCTGGATCAGGAGTTTTTTGTGGGGAGCCACAAATCTTCGTCCTCCACCCATTCACAGATATCCCTCCTGGGACTTGTCTCTTGTTTTGAGGGCCCTCACTGCTTCTCCATTCGAACCCCTGGCATCAGTTAGCCTTCGGTTTTTGACCCTGAAATTGGCCTTCCTCCTTGCCATTACATCAGCAAGGAGGGTTTCGGAGCTGGCTGCCCTGTCTATTCGCAGTGATCTATGTATATTTAAGCCCAATATGGTTATCCTCAGACTGGACCCCTCCTTTGTTCCCAAAGTAAATTCCGTTTTTCATAGACAACAGGAAATTATCCTCCCTGATTTTTGTCCCCATCCTCATCATCCATTAGAGACTCAGTGGCATACGCTAGATGTCCGGAGGGCTTTACGCCGCTATATTTCCAGGACCGCCTCCTTCCATAAGTCGGAGGCGCTCTTGGTTTCCTTCCATCCAGCATCCATGGATCAAAAGGTGTCATCTCAAACTGTGGCCAGGTGGATTAAGGCGTGCATCTCCTTGGTTTATGGGACTCAGGGCAGACAGTTACCTGGGCGAATTTGGGCACACTCAGCCCGCAGCGCTACCACGTCGGCTGCTTGGTCCACGCAAGCTTCCATCCTCGACATCTGTTGGGCTGCTACATGGACATCGCTCTCTCCATTCGTCCAACATTACAAACTCGACGCTTTTGCTTCGGCAGAAGCCTCATTTGGCCGGAGGGTATTGCAGTCTGTCCACTCCCCTGGGACCCGAGGGCCCAGCCAGCCTCCCTCCCAGTAAATGGGTGCTTGGGCATATCCCATCAATGAATTGCGTAGCATCGCCATGGAAAATGGACATTGGCTCACCTGAACGTTCCTTTTCTTGGCGATGCGAAGCAATTCATCCCACCTCTCAGGCTGTCTGGGATGGGGAGAGGGTTTCTTCTGTTTTTGTCCTTAGATCACGACTCCTGTCGTCCACCTTCGAGAAATAACTGACAAGCCACAGAGCAGGGAGGAGTGGCCAGAGGAAAGATTTAAAGGCACAGTACACTCTCAGTCCCTATCAAGCAAGAATGAGATAATCCCATCAATGAATTGCTTCTCATCGCCAAGAAAAGGAACGTTCAGGTGAGCAAACGTCCATTACTAACTTAACAATCACTTAGTGATTCACTCAGCTACTATGGCAAGAAATGTCATAAAATCAGGCAAAATTCACTTAACAACTGTCTCACTTAGCAACATATTTTAATGGACATTTGCGGACACTGGGATTAAAAAGTTGATTTATGGATTTGCTTATAGACAACGGATGAGATGTAAGATGAAAAGCTACTTGTTTAACTTTATAGGGGATGAAGAGTTATTAAATTGTTGGTACTTGGTATGATGGTTGAAAATCACTTCTTCATATAATTCTCTTTCTCCCTTTATGATATTCTTTGTTTTCTTTTATTTCTTTCTTTTTTCTGAACCTTTTATTTCTTGTTTCCATTCTATTTTCTTTCTCTCAGTTTAGTTTTATTATTTTCTACTATTGTAATTAAAATTCTGAATAAAAATTATATTAAAAATGTATTGCAAAATTTATCTTAGAATCTATCGATTCAGCCCATAGTCAAGATTACAATGAATTTCAGTGATTTTGTTAACAATATGGTGATAGGAAATACCTATCATATACAGTAGATAGGAAAAATGTTGAAGGTAATGTGTCACCACTATTCCATCTATATTAGGAAATGGTCTGGTGATGACAAAAGATTCAATATAAAGTCTTCCATATTTAGATCACACTTCAATTTAAAGAAAAGAACAAGAGTGTGTCAATCTGAGTGTGTGTCGGGTTAGATATTTGGACAAGCCAACAGTTGTCATAGAAACCCATAAGATCCTAAAATCAGGCCCTAAGGTCTGGAAATAGACATCTCTGAGTACAAGTATGTGAAGTAATTACAAACCAAACCAGGGAATTGATCTAGCTAGAAGTTTCAGGAGAAATTCATCTAGGACTCAAGCAGGACACCAAATGTCCTTTTAATTCCTGTTGCTCAACTTAATACACAAGCATTCATAGTCTGCAGCTCCTGGTGCAGAGATCCTAATCATAGGCACGGTATTTTTTATCACACATTGTCTCTATAGTTATAACTATTTTCCTCTGTTTTCATGAAGTTGAAACCATTGAAAAATCTGATGCCTTGAATCATAAATGCTGCATCTCCTCATCTAACCTTATTTCATTAATGCATGCCAGGTCCCATTGTTGCAGAATGTGGCTTTAATTGTAATATCAGAACAACAAAAAAATATCCCATTCCCCTGTTGGAATATAATCAACATTAATAATTTGTCTGCTTGTTCAAGAGAATAGACTGTTCTAATTTTTCCCCATATCTTGGAGCATTGGTATTGTCAACAAATCAAATGTCATTTCTTAAGATAGTGAACCTACCTTTGAACTGCGGGCTTTATGGTTGATTAATCAAGTAAAGAAGGCTTGCCATACGAAAGGAATTTAATGTGAAGAAAACAATTTAGTTCCTCTCATCTGATCTATCAATTAAGTGTGAACCTAACTAATCTCAATTAAAGATACTAATAAAGACCTAGTTGAAACTCACATAAGGTTTTATTTGAAATAATGAAAAAACTCCACGCTTAAAAATGTAAAATAAAATAGGAAAATCCCCATTTCTACTTTTAGATATTTTTAGAATGATTACTATTATCCCATTTATTTATTTATTTATTTGATTTGATTTGAATCCCACCTTTATTAAGCTGCTGCATACAAACATTTAAGAAATCAGTCCCTTTTACAAAGTACGTAATACTAAACTATACCCTCTTTCAATATTTTTGTGATGAATGGATTCTAATGTTAATTCATTATCCTTATATAATGTTTCCTTACTATCAGTGGAAGATTTTACTTTTCCAGCATCTGTTTTGTGAAAAATATTAATTCCCTTTCAGACTTTCTGAATTTTTGCATATCATTAACACTGAACGTTATCAAAAATCCATGCGAATCACATTGATGATGAATCTAAGTGAAGAAATAAATGCAATGTTTTGTTTCAGTTATTTCATAACAAAGTCACCATGATCATGAAATGTATCATGGATAAAAACATTATTATGGACAAATATGTATTCATCATTTAATTTTCAGGTACACTTTAGTGCAGTTCTCCAAACCAGGGTGACTTCCAGATATGTGAACCTCAGTTCCCAGAAAATGTAAGAGCATGCTGGCTGAGAATTTTGGAAATTGAAATCTCTACATCAGGAGGGTTCTTAATAAACAAGAGGCTAATGCCAGGAGTGAGTAATTAATTAGAATTACAGTAATGGTTACACTGATCAAAGTGATATTTGTTTTTTATAATGTAATATTTATATAATAAACATTATATAATAGGTTTAAATTTGTAATATTTCTAAACATATTTATTTATTTATTTATTTATTTATTTATTTATTTATTCTCAAATTTATAGACCGCCCTTCTCCCGCATGCAACATATAGGATAAGGATTGTATTCCTCACCGCTTGATAATTCTCATCCAGTATGGAGGCAAGAAATATTTCAGAAAGGAATCATGGTCTCTGATGCTGTGCTGAAATCTGTTCTTCAGTTTCCTGAAAGTCTGAAAAATAAATTTCTGGTTTTTTACCTTATTTTGAGGTGAGTTAAGGAAAGTGCTGATATACATATACATATACATATACATATACATATACATACATACATATATATGGTATCCATCACTTTGCACACTCATATCTGTAATGTATAAATTGTGCAAAAAAATGCACATTTGCAGTATGTGCAAAAATGTACTGTTTTTTTTTTATGCTGTTCTTCTCTAGAAGTTCAGATGAATGATTACCCCATCCTGCCCCATATCCTCTTCTACCCACACACCCCGACCCCTCCCAACCCCATTGTAAGTATCTTAGAAGCTGAATGGTGCACTATTGCTAACCCAACATCACTTTTTAAAATGAAGTGATATTATGGGCAAATATCAAGGAAAGGAAACATATCAGAAGAATGCATATTATATATAGAAAATATTAGGACTGGAATCAATCCTCTATGAACTTAACAAACAATTTCACAATGTATTAGAGATCATACATGTTTCTTTATGGTTAATGATTTAAATATCGTTTACTCTTGTTATGATACCATTGAAGTATTCTGATAGTTTTATTGTGTTCTGTTTCAAACAAGCTTATATCTACCATATATACAAGCCACTGGTCGTTTGGAAGCTGCGCTAAGGGACTTGCAAAAGATTGAAGTCAGCTCTGAGGTAACTTAAAATAGAAATGAATACAAATGTCCACATAACCAAAAGTCCAGTATATAGATACTATTATAACTTATTTCTCAATCATTCAGATCATGGTTGTTCCAAAGGTGTCTTTTTATTCCATTCTCTACCATTTAGTCAGAACTAAAGAAGCTTCTTGGATGAAAAGCGAAACATCTTCAAAGGAAGTCCAGCTGCCTTTTGAAAAAATACCTTTGGGTTATTTCTTGACAATATTTGAGTGTATCTGTCATGACTGATTATAGTTTTTTCACCTTTCTATTTTATATTCTCTGAAGACATTTTAAACTTTAAAGCATTTCTAACTGAACTGAAAATATATACCAAAGGATACTTTTCTCAAAATCATGTTTAAACTTTGATTCTACAAATATTGTAAGGCAGATGTGTTGAAACAAAAACCCTTTACCTTATCCTATGTACATTGTTTGGAAAAATTAGATTTTACTGTAAATTTCAACAGTTCCCAAATGATCCTCTATGGATGCTTAATGTTCTTAAAATGCAGAGCAATTTTGAAATGATTTTTAATCTCATGCTTTGAGGAAAAACATGCTTTAAAACTGCTGATTACATAACAATTTTCTTTTTTTAGATCGATGCCTATTTATATACTGCAGATTTAAATTACTCCGTGAGTATGTTTTATTTTTCAGAAATTTGAATAGTTCTTAAAATATATTGTAGACAGTTTAAAAATCTGCAATTCACCAACCTTTTAGTACAGCTAAACGGAGTTCTAGATATAGTAGTATCTTATCATATGTCACTGTTTATGGACTACAGCAGTATTCTAGGACAGGGGCCTCCAACCTTTTGGGCAGTAGGGTCCAACTGGTTCTGTGGAGAGAAGTTTTTCCCCGGACCAGAGGGGGCGTGGTTTCATATGTTACCTGTATCCTACGGTTGAGGCTTTGCTTGTTTGCGCAGCCCAGTTTCTGGCAAGCCCCGGACTGGTGCTGATCCAGGGACCAGGGGTTGGGGATCCTTGTTCTAAGAGATATTCTTTGAAAGTGTTCTGAAACTTGGTTTACAATGTGAGAATCAGATTATTAACTGGAAGTTTCTTTCAAGAGACTGCTGCTTACTTGTCAAAACCACTCTATTGATTTCTTTATGGTCCCAGTTTTTCTGTACATCCGCCAGTCTCTTTAGATTATTTCCATATGAAATTTGGCTGTCCCAGTTATAAGAGAAATAGGTTTGGTTGGAACAAAAAAAAATATTTAAAAATCCAGCAACTGCATCTAAGCTTTAGAACTCCCACATAGGGGAATTTACGAGCTATGGTAGTATATTTATCAGATTGCAATTAATTAAAATTAATTAAATGGCAGCAAATCATGATTTTATTTCAATCAGATATAATTGTAAAATATAATGTTCAGACGGAATTGGTTTTATTAATAAAAGTTTATAGTTAAAGTCCATTCCATGTAATTGTACATTATAACTTAAGAAGATTTAAAAGGTAAGTAAAAAACCTGAACTTCGATCTCTCCAGACCTTGTGCACCATTGTAATCATTACATAGCATCACACACAAACACACACACATTTCTACTAAGCGTAACTTCTCCACTTCTATAAGCAAGAAGGGAGCGTAATAAAAATGAATGCAAAATGTAATGTCTGCATGAGGCCAGAAACATTTTTTTATACAAATCTAGTGATTTTTATTTTTATTTTGTTTTTCCTAGAGTCATTGTAATCTATCAGTGTTAAAATGCTTTCAACTTGAGATGGAAGTAGTGTCGTATGAATCTAAATATGGGGATCGAAAATTTCATAATAGTGTGGATAGTATAATCAGAAATGTTAGAAGTTTTCTACGCATTGAAACAGTAAGTCCAACCTGGGTTAAACTACACATTGTACTGAATTAGCGTTCAAGGAGTTTGTAAAACCTTCTATTTGTTTACAAAATTACTCAAATCATTTGTCAGATAAGTCACTAAAAGATACTTCTTTCCCCCCACAAACACACATATATGGAATGCTTAAAGCGCCCTTGAAAAAAAACGTACATAGATTGTAAAGTGTAAAAAACTGCAAAGATTGGAGAAGGCAGGAAGGCAGGAGAAAGCTAGGACGCGATCTCCACACTTTCTCCCACACCGAGTCCTAGCTGCCTCCTACCTTCCCTGATCTTTGCAGTTTCTCCCCATCAAATCCTAGCTTCTTCCTGCCTTCTCCGATCTCCAAAATTTCTCCCCCATCAAATCCTAGCTTCCTCCTGCCTTCTCCGATCTCCAAAGTTTCTCCCCCATCAAATCCTAGCTGCCTCCTGCCTTTCACGATCTCCAAAATTTTTCCCCCCATCAAATCCGATCTTCCTCCTGCCTTACACAATCTCCAAAGTTTCTCCCCATCAAATCCTTGTTTCCTCCTGCCTTCTCCGATCTCCAAAGTTTCTCCCCCATTGAATCCTAGCTTCCTTCTGCCTTCTCCGATCTCCAAAGTTTCTCCCCCATCGAATCCTAGCTTCCTCCTGCCTTCTCCGATCTCCAAAGTTTCTCCCCCCACTGAGTGCCTCCTGCCTTCCATGCCTCCTCCGATCTTTGCAGTTTCTCCCCCCCATCGCGTCCTAGCTTTCTCTTGCTTTCCTGCCACGGAGAGGCATCTGCAGAGGGTGGAACCTGCAGAGATCGGGGAAGGCCCTGCCCCCCGTGCATGTGCGGCAGAGATCCGAAGACCAGCTGGCCGATCAGAGGTGCGCACATGTGCGGTGAAGCTGGGCTGGGGCGACGGCTGGCGTGCCGGCAGAAAGAGCTCTGCGTGCCATCTGTGGCATGTGTGCCATAGGTTTGCCATCACGGTCCTAGTCTGATACACGTATTCAAAACTTTGGGTGCATTACATGGAATGAGTCCAGTTTGGATGAACACATTCCGCTTCAAACAAAGTACATGAAATACTAGAGTATTATCTATATTTAATAGCTGAAGCCAGAGGATTCTAGTCAGTTAATTCTGAGGTTTCTGCAAAGATGGATGGTGTGCCATTTTTCTTCTCATTCTTGATCCCCAGATTCACCCCTTGTTTTTAAAAAGCAAACCATTTTTCTCTTCAACATCAGGGGGACGTTTGAGATAATCCACTTGCCTTTTGCTATGATCTGAAGATCATACTTGATAAAAGACGTTGATTAAATCTGCCTGTCTGCCCTCTGTCTGGAAGCTGATAGTTGGAGCACTATGAAAGAGTGGCTTCACCACACAACTATACACATCAAATTCTCTGCTTCCTCTCCTCTCTGTGATACATACATGCAGCAGAGCAGACTCTCCATGGAGAAGGAGAACAAAGAACAGAGTGAGGGCAGTACATTTTTCCCTTTGTAAAGTTGATATATTTTATAGGTTGAACAGCACTGAAGTGAATTTAGAGTTAAATATCCTACCCCCACAATCCTCTCCTAACATTCCTGTACTACTTAACACATTAACTAAAAGGTCTTCAGACTATATTTAGTTCATGGACAATGTCCAACTTTGTTTTAAGAGGATCTCAGGCAGGGGTGGGCTTCAAAAATTTTAGCAAGGGGTTCTCTGCAGGATTGCTGGGTGGGTGTGGCCATGATGGGCATCACCTAGTCGGCCTCCTGCACCACAATGGGGGGGGGGTGTTTTTGCCCTCCCCGGGCTCCGGAGGCTTTCTTCGAGCTCCCGGGAGGGCGAAAACGGCCTCCCCAGGCTCCGGAAGCCCTCTGAAGGCACGCCCTGCACTTACTTGCATCCAAAACAGGCCGCATGGAGACTCCTGGGAGGGGAGGGGAGGGGTGGGGTGGCCGGGGCCAGCCAGGATTGGGATTTGGGGGTTCTCCGAACTGCACAAAATCTTAGCTAGAGGTTCTCCCGAACCCCTGCGAACCCCCAGTAGCTCACCCCTGATCTCAGGAATGATTTAAATTGATAACAGAAGTAAATTGCAGAAGAATGTCTAAAGGAGTTTAAGAACCTGTAAGAAACTAGGCAAGCATAAACATTTAGCTTATATAAGCTAGTAACTGTGAAATGGATTGTCTATTTGTTGCAGTAATGTGAAAGAGAAAGACAAAGCTAGTCACTGAACTCTGCTAATGTGGAATTTCAATATTTTGGTACAGGTAATCCTCCACTTACAATAGTTCATTTAATGACCATTCAAAGTTAAAATGGAATTGGAAAAAGTGACAACCATTTTTCACAGTTACGACCTCTGTAGCATCTCCATGATCATGTGATCAAAATTCAGATGCTTAGCAACTGGTTGATATTTATGACGGTTGCTGTGTCCCAAGGTCACATGATCACCTTTTGCGACTTTCTGACAAGTAGAGTCAATGGGGAAGCCAGATTCACTTAACAACCAGATTACTAATTTATCAACTTCAGTGATTCACTTAACAACTGAGGCAAGGAAGGTCATAAAGTGGGGCAAAACTCACTTAAAAAATTTCTTATTTAACAACAGAAATTTTGGGCTCAATTCTGGTCATAAGTCGAGGACTACCTGTATTCTCTGGAGCCATCTACTCACAATGATGGTTTTGGATCTCATACTGCAGATTTAAATTTTTTTAAAAAAATTCACTCTAACTGTAATAGAAATCTTGTTATTAGGAATCTATGTCATTATATATATGTCTTTGCTTCAGCACGTTGCTTATGTACTTTCCCCAATCTTTCATTTTTGAAGAATACAGATACAAAGACCTGCCAACGATGTGAAACATATAAAGAAAAAAAATATTCAGACTTTATAACACACTTCATGTTTGTTATACAGCGGATCTACCAAGAAGAGAATACAAAAATGAAAATTGTGCACTGAGATATTCCATTGAAGCTGGAAGAAATAATTTATTTCGTCCTTGGAAAGATAATTTCTGAATGGTCAGCCTAATCCCATCTCTCTTTTTTCTTTCTTTCTTTTTTTTGTCTTCCCATCTGGGAGTTTGAAGTAGAGGTAGTCCTCATTTAGTGACTGCCTTGTTTAGTGACCATTTGCGGTTACAGTTATGAAAAAGTAACTTTGCAACCAATCCTTACATTTACGAGTTTCATGGGTCTGTACAGCAAAGGAAATTTAAGTAAGATCAGTTGAATTTTCACTTGGCAATTACTTTGCTGAATGACAATTGTGGGTCCCAGTTGGGATTGCTAAACAGGTACTACCTGTAACTAAATTAGCTGAACCACACTTTGCTTTCTGCTTCAAGAGAGGAGATCACATTTATGTACTGGAATGCTGGAAAAGAGAAAGAGGAGGAAATTGGGGAACATCGGGATAGAGTTGGCTTTGGACAGTGACTAAAAATGTGAAAAAAAATCAATGCAGATTCAGAAACACACGCAATTGAAAGGTGAATGGACTTCATGAAATCCAGACGTGCTGAATAGCATAGCAGCCAAAGACCTGGCAATTTACAAAGATTTAGCAATTCCAACCTGCTTATACAAGAAAAGGGCAAAAAATGGAAAAGGAGTTTAAAGAAATTATGAGAAGATATATAATTATAGTGGTAAAATTTAGAATTAAGTAGGCATCATCATTTGTTTAAAACCTTTCCCAGTTTTTTAGTAACCCTTCAATACAAATCTGTCACATGTTTAAGAGGATATGGATAGAAATGTAGAGATGGAATTTTTCTGACCCGCTCCCCAAGCACAACAAACCCTCTGAAGTTAAAGCAATGATTCCTTTATTAGGAGCGTCAGCAGCACCGACAAAAAGTTTCTCTTTCAGCGCAGGCTAACAAGTCAGTCCGGCAGGGAGATGAATAGTTGTCTGCCACATCTATTCATCTCCGCCCCTGCCTTTTATCTCCAGAGCTAGTGTGGGGCTTCGCTAGCAGCAGTGACTCTTCCGTCCCAAGGATCGGCCCACAGATTTCCACTGCTCTCCTCTCCTCTGCCTTCTGTGCATCTGTGCATCAGGCACTGGACCCAGCTGTTCCTCCTCTTCCTCATCAGCCACCTCCAGACCTGGAGGCTGTTGACTCTCCATCTGAGGACTGACAGATGGCCCAGGCTTCGCCTCTGTCTCTCTCTCTTTCTGACAGCTCGATTCCCTCTTCCCTGTCAGAGCTGTCAGGTTGCCTTGATGGTGACCCTGACTCCATCTTAAAACAACCTTATCATCATTAATTCTGGATAGACAATACTGCACAATCTGGGGATGCGCTTAGACTTGCAACATCTGTTCGAAGAGTAGGTGGCAGTCATGGTAGGAGACTCTTCATACAGTTGCCTCCTTTCTTGAATAATGAGACCCTGAATGCAATCACTCGTGCCCTGGTCATCTCCCAGTTGGATTACTGCAATATTCTCTATATGGGATTACCCTCAAATAGTATTCAGAAACTACAAATGTCAATGGTCTGACTAGCAAATTCAAGAAAAATAGACACTCTCAGGAACTATAAAGCAAAACTTTATTGGATACAACATTTTGGCACTGAAGAATCAGAACCAACTGTGATTTTTCCCATGCAATGCTTGTATAGTTAAACAATAGCTCCTTCTCCCCATCCCAATTTGGTTACATTGTCCAATTATGAATCATCTTTTTGTTTTGAGAATAGTTCACTTCTCTGTCAGACACCTGCATCAGTGTCCTTTGTGGGATCTTGGCTCTCACGGTCCGCCTCTGGAGCATCTGCATTCTTTCACCCTTCCCGCCAAGTCCTTTGGCAAGTTGAAAGTGATAATACCTAAATGTTTCAAAAGTGGTTCAACTTTGACAACAACTGGTACAGAATATAGTGGTGCGGAGAGTTCTGGAAGCACCTGATGGTATATGTGACAGTGACAGTGGTGGGTTTCTACCGGTTCACACCCATTTGGGCAAACCGGTAGCAGTAATTTGGCCTGGGTCGCTGAACTGGTAGTGACTGCTGGCTGGTCATGCCCCCAAACCAGTTGCCCGATCATCGCTCACTCGCCCTGCCCCCCACTCGCCCTGCCCAGTCACTCCTTATGTCTACTGTGTGGGTCCTCACTTGCAGCTTGCCTGCCGGAAGTGCTGTGCCCCAACTGAGTGGCCCTGATCTGCCTGCCAGGTAAGCCTGTGAGTCTCAGCCTAGCTAACTGCCCCAACCCCCCCATCTGAGACTGCCTCCCCTGCGGCCCCCAGCCCTGCAATGCCTCCCTGCCTTCCACGTGGCCTTCCCAGTGGCCTCCATGGCCAGGCCCACTTGCGAAGGCCTTCCCTACTCCCTTCTCTGTGGCCCGCAGCTGTGCGGCCCAAACATGATTGCCTGCCTTCCACATGGCTTTCCAGTGTTCCCGTGGTCAGCTTGTGAAGGCAGGCAAGCTTTAATGGGTGCGAGCAAACATGCACACCATGAGGTGTGTGCACCATGAGGTGTGTGCGACTGCAAATTTGCTCTCTGATACGAGGCCAAGAAGGAGGAGAAGACTTGGCCGAACTTTGGAAGAACTTTGCCCAAGACTTCTCGTACACTCAGGGGCTAGCCTACACCTCTCCCAAAGATGAGTTTGGCGGCGATCTAAGGAAACGTCTTCCAGCTCTTCAAGATCAACTTTTAAGAGCACTGAGAAGCCAAGAGCAAAAGTAGCAGGGGCGACAGGGGCATGTGTGTGTCCCTCCGCAAGGAGTGTGAAGGGAGGCAGGCACCGTGCCTCTGAGAAAAAGAGGTGGCAAAGCCCGGGCTGTCGCCAGGGAAGGACCACGGAGGGACATGTCACACACCCCTGTCACCCTCGCCGGCACTACTATTGCTCTCGGCTTCTTGGTGCAGTGTCTACCTTCCATCACTCCTTGCCCATGCTGGGAGCGCTGAACTGGAGCAGGAAAGCATGCACGGGAGCGAGAGCGCACGAAGTTGGCCACTGTGGGGAGAGCACCTTTGCTTCTCCTCTTGCTCCTCACAGTCGCCCTGAGTTGAGCCAGTGCGGTTCTTTACATGGGCAGCCCTGACGACCACAGCAGGAACAAGCAGCACTGCAACAACGAAGTACAGTAAGATTTGGCGGTGCAGAAATTGTTCCATAAAAAATAGTGCATCTCCGAGGTGCCTCTGGCAAAAAACAAAAAAACCACCCCAAAACAAAACCCAGGCTTGCAACAACAGTTTGGAGCTTGTTAAATGTTCTTCCACCCCAGCCATGTGTTTTCCAGTCCGGGCTGCTCGGCAGGCAGACTCAGCAGGCAGACTTTTATTTTGTCAGCCCAAAGCGGGGAGGTACATATGAAATCACCCTGTCTCTGCAGCATCAGTCATGTGACTGAGTGGACGTGGCCAACTCGATGTCACTCACAACAAGGTGCTCCCAACCTTGTCATGAGTGATGTCGAGTTGGCCATGCCCACTCAGTCACATGACTCCACCAAGCAAGCCACGCCCACAGAACCAGTAGTAAAAAATGTTGAAACCGACCACTGGTGACACCGCTCTTATGTGAGCTTCATTAGCTGCCAGTTTGCTTCCATGTTCAATTCAAGGTATTGGTTATCACCTTTAAAGTCTTTTATGGCATGGGTCAGGGCATATGAAGACCATCTCACCCCAAAGGGACTAGCTACTCCACTCATTCCAGTGGGAAAGGCCCATTGTGGATCCTGTTAGCCAAAGAATTTCAACTGCTGTGGTCCAGGAGAAGAGCTCTGTAAAAACAAGTACCTGGAGATGTAAAACAATGACAAAGTTGAAATTCTGGAGAGTAAGAGAGAGCTTGCAGAAAGAGAATTAGAAAGAGAACTAGATAGTAGGGCTCTATTAGCATTGGCATTGAGAAAGGGAAAAATTTGACATTTACAGCACTCCCAGGGAATTCTGATGAAAATGTTTTTTAAAAAGTTGTTAAATTTTTAGAAAATGTTTTGGATTGGGATGTGGAGGTATAATTTGTAGAAATTGATGATTGGTAGAATAAAAACAAGATTTGTGATATTAAGAAATATTATGAGGGATTTTTTGGGGTCCCTTGTCAAAAAGAAGACAAGGAATTGCATCAGCATTATATACAACACTGAAGATTGATAATACAGATGTAATTATTGCCAAAGATATTCCTGTAAAAATCTTGTGTAAAAGAAATAAGTATTCTTTTTTTACCTGAGAGATTAAAGCAAAAAAACAAAACAAAACTCCATTTCAATGGGACAAATTGGCAGTATAATTTTTACTTTTAAACAATGTATTAAAGATGTGCTCATTTATAGCCTTTATCTGGATTTTTATCACATAATGATAAACTGATTAACACAATTCTGTATGAATAAAGTTTAATTTGTTGTTTAAAAACATATCAATATTGATGCTTATTTGGGTTTTCTTTGGGTGGTTTTTTCCTTCTATTTTTTCATGTGTATTTATTTTTTTTCTACATGTTTTCTAAAAGTAATGTTTTTCTTGTTATAGTAGTTTGTGAAATTTACAAATAAAAGGGAAAATTGCCAATTAAAAAGCCTAAATGGGGGGAGATCTTCCTGTTGCTTTGCATCATAGAAAATCTACATATAAAAACTTCCTTTTATAACCCCGTAATATAATCCCATAATTTGGGGTGGAGAGAATGGAAAACCTACATACATAGTAATGTATTTACCAAACATTGACAAAAAGAAATAAGTCGACCTATCCCTGGGTGAAATCCCTACAGTCAGTCGAAGAATTGTAGCTTAAAATTTTTCATCATACTTGCAAAAAAAAACCCCCAAAATATTAATTCTTCAGTGGGTATATGAAGGCAGGAAAATAAAATTTAAAAATCCTGTAACAAAAGTAATATAATGCATAATTGCTACTATTTGTCTTTAGCATATCTTCAGTATATTACTTTGCTTTGTTTCAAAAAGTTAACTCTACCATTTAATACAAATACACTTATAGAGCTGTACAAAATTGTTCAACTAACTTAATTTGATCCAAAGCAGTACTTCAAAATTTCATCTGCAAAATAATTGTTCACCTATGAATTATTTTTGCAAAGCAACAGACAATGGAGAGAAAGTTATGGCCATGGTTAGGAGGAAGAAAGCAAGTCCCATTAGGCTCTAAAATACAACTCTTCTCTTCAGGGGCTGCTAACAGGAATGAATGTAAGGACTTGGGCACAGTGATGTTGCCTGAGCAAGAAACCAAAGGGGAACATACCTGAGTCAGGCATGGAGGAAATTAGGCATGGAGGAAGAGAGTCTGGTGAAGATTAAGAGTAGAGGAGGAAATGTTGAAGAGTTACTAGGTTAGGGTTGGGAGGCAGTGGTGGGTTGCCCCCGGTTCGGTAGTAAAACGAGCGAGAGGCCTCGCCCACCGACCCAGATATCGCACGTGAACCTGTTGTGAACCGGTAGTAAAGGTAAGTAGAACCCACCCCTGTTGGGAAGGTGTTGGGAAAGAAGGAGTCGAGATGTGCTGGATGAAGAAATTAGCTGCTTGAACTTCTTCCTTGATTGCTTCTGTTTTCTGTTAAGTATTGTGTTTGATACTTGCCTGGAAACTTGATGTCCAATATTTGTGAGACTTGTTAGACTCCTGTCTCCATTATTAATATATGTTTATTTTCATCACCATTGGAGCATCCACCACTGCTGCTTATTTGTATTGTAAGAGTGTCTATGTAGAGGAGAGAAGAGTTATTTGGTGAGGACTGTACTAAATTGTACTCAGGTGGACTAGAGTGAGGGTTTGGCAATGGAATTGGGAGTTTGTAAATATGTACGTTTAGGGAGAGAGTTGGCTGAATGGAAAACTTGGGGAAGAGGAGAAATCAGATTGGTCAGTTCACCATAAAGCTAAAGTATGTAGCCTAGTGATTGTTTAATGATTTCTCTTCTTTTGCCAGATCAGTTGCTTATAACACACAACTCCTAAATCCACCTCCTTACAATTTATAAATTTGAATACAATATATTCGTTTGATTAATTGGACACAAATATCTCTTTCCTTGAATAAAGAAAATAATTATAATGTTTGTTTTTTAATAATATTCAGAACCCAAGGTCTGAATGAAGAAGCAATAATCTATGGCCGTGATGGCAAATCTATGGCACGGGTGCCACAGGTGACACACGGAGCCATATCTGTGGGCACGCAAGCGTTGCCCTACCTCAGTCCAGCACGCATGTGCACGCTGGCCAGCTGATTTTCAGTCCTTTTGGGCCCACCGGAAGTTGGGAAACGGGCTGTTTCCAGGCCTCCAGAGGGCTTCCGGGTGTGTGTGTGGGGAAGGCCGTTTTCGCCCTCCCCAGGCTCCTAGAAAGCCTCTGGAGCCTGGGGAGGGCAAAAAAATGGGTCTACCGGGCCCACCGTGTCATCACATGCCAAAAGTGGGGGGAGAGGGGGGTCACGCGTGCATGCGTGGAGGGACGGGGCGCATTGAATTATGGGTGTGGGCTCACGCGCGCACAATCCCCCCACTCCGCTTTTGGCACGCGACAGCAAAAAGGTTAGCCATCACTGTTCTATGGGAAGGAGCATCAATCTCAAACAAACAAACAAACAAACCCTACCATCTGAGATTAACTTGAGCATAACCATGTCCCCAGCCATCAACATTTTTAGGTGGTCAATTATATCAAAAGTCAATCATCCATCACTTCATAGTCTTTATAATGGGCTGGTTCCTAATCCACTAAAACAGTTCTAGATAATCAGTATTATCCACAAGCATTTGGCGTTCCCTACCCATCATCTTTTCAATCACCTTGACTGAGAAATTAGAAAACGTTTACATAGCTCTTAAAGTGGGGGGGGGGGTATCCTTTTTTTACAGGATGAAGAAACAAACAATATTATCATAGAGACATTGATAATAGAACATAAGACTTCCATCAATAGATCACTCCCAGCCATTACAGCCAAAAGGGAGCTGATCTCATGAGCAGATAATAATTCCAAGTGTCTTGTCCACATCCTTAAGCAAGGAGTAAATAAGTGATCCAATAACATTGGGCGAGCAAATGTACTGGCCATCTACCTATTATCATAATTAATAGTATCAATATGCTAGCTACTATGAGAGATTTTGTCTGTGGAAAAAGTTTGAAAAGCCACTGCAGTTTGCTGGATCAGCTATGTTCCATGGAGATGATAGTGTTCCTTCAGGCATGATAGTAGGAAAAAAAATACATCTTTTTCTCTACTTTCAAAGCCACTACATACAGTATATTTTAATGGACTCTAAGCATTGCTCATATTAAGCTGAATGATTTAAATTCCACAGTCTAACCTAGTTAATATGTTTTAAAAATTTAATAAGTACACACCAAAAGCTTTTTCTACATCTAAAGAAGTGACCATAGCCAAATGCATATTCTCAGATATAAAGTATATGTACTAAGAGTTTAATATTAAGAGATGCATGACTTCCTTTAAAGAATCTGTACAGATGAGGATGAATTAGAAAAGGAAATACATTCAGTAATCTCTGTGATAATGTCACCATTAAAATTTTAGCATATACATTTAACAAGGATATTAAACTAGTACAATATGTAAGACCCAGTTTCAATCAATATTACTATAATGTAGACGCATAAAATGACAAAAACATGCATTTCATATAAATCTCATTATATAGTAGCCAACAATTTAAGAACAAATGTTACCATTAATACCTTACATCAGTGGTGAAATGTAAAATTTGTTACTACCGGTTCTGTGGGTGTGGCTTGGTGGTGGTGGGTAATATGACTGAGTGGGCGTGGACAACTTTTTTAAAAAAAACTTTTAAAACCATTTTTTCTACAACCTCTTCGGCTGAAAAGATTGTAAAAAAAAAAATGCTTTAAAAAGCCTCTGACGATCCCAGATGAGTTGCCTGATCAGCAGAGGCTTTCTTTTTTTTTTTTAAAGCCTCTGATGATCCCAGCTAAGCTGCGCGATCATCAGAGATTTTGTTTTTTCACTTTTAAAAGCATTTTTTCGGCCAAAGAGGTTGTAGAAAAATGCTTTTAAAAATTAAAAAAAAAAACAACCTCTGATGATTGCGCAGCTCAGCTGGGCATGGGGGGGCAGGGATTTTTGCTACCGGTTCTCTGAACCACCCGCCTCCATCGCTACCGGATCGGGCGATCTGGTCCGAACCGGGAGCATTTCACCCCTGCCTTATATCATTCTAGTGGAAATCTATATGGACCAGGGTTCTTTCCTGCTTTCATAGATGCAATAGCATTTATGTTTTTGCAGTAACACTAATGGTGTTGATAACTCAGGACAATAAGGAAATACATTTCAGAAATCTTTGTTTTATTTTAAAAAATATAAAACTTGTTCATTCTGTACTCACACTCAAAGTCAAATGTAAACATGTATGTATGTGTGTGGCATATAAAAACATACACAGTATATTCTTTCATCCAATCGTGTCCGATTCTCAGAGACTACATTGAAAAGTTCTTGCCATTTTCTTGGCAAGGTTTTTCAATGGTTTGCTACTGTCTCCTTCCTGGGGTTGAGAGAAAGTGGCTGACCTGAAGTCATTCAGTGGATTTGTGTCCAAGGCAAGACTCATCATCTGCCTGTTTTTATATCTGACTGGGTGGGTGTGTTTTGAATCTCGCCCTTTGAATATTTAACGATGAATGAGATAACATTATATTATTGCGGCTGTTATATTCTAGTAGCCAGTCAATTGCCTGGGGTTTTTTTTCTACATGTACTCTCTTTTCCGAGATATGCTGAGATTCTTTTTTTAAAAAAATACAAGATGCACATTACTATACGTGCAGTAATCTAGCCCCAAACTAATTAATGTCTCACAGATTCAACAAATTAACTAATGAATTTGTTATCTGAAAGAATGTCTCACTGCTTTTTGGAAAAGGAAATTTAAGTATTTAGTAATTCTGTATAAAATTGAGCTGTGAAAAGACAAGAATAATTATGCAAGAATAATTAGTATATTGCTCTAATTGATTTATTGACTGGACCATAAATCAGTTCAGTGCTAAAATAGATAAAACCCAGACTGAAGGTTGCAAATTGAAGTTTACATTCACTCAAGCAGACACTAGTAAAAGAATTATTTGCCTGCGGACAGGAACAGAGTAAGCCAGTCTATGGAAATAGCTAAAGGGAAAAAACGCCCAAGCTATTAGCTGAAAGTCAAAAGTTCAGAACTGCAGGAGTTTGCTGAATCCAATCCAGAGGTCAAAAGCTACTGATCAGTCTACAGGGCAGGGAGCCTGGAGGCTGTAGGAATTTAAAACGAGCAGAACAGGTCAGGAACCTGGAGGGAACCTTGAAGGATGCCCTTAAATAGCAAATTGACCTTGATTGATTCGTAATGCTCAAGGAGTTACA